CTTGGTTTTGATATGTGGTGAAACCAACAGGTCCAGCCAATTATTTATTTACATTCAGAAATAGTAGGAACTGCCAATGCTGGAGAATCTGAGATAACAAGGTGCAGAGCTGGATGAATACAGCAGGCCAAGCAGCATCAGAGGAGCAGGAGGGTCCAGACCCGAAACGTCAGCTTTCCTGCTCCTCTGATGCTGCGTGGCCTGCTATGTTCATCCAGCTCTTCACCTTGTTATCTCATATTTATTTACATTGCTATGTTTTGTTTGGACATTACATATATTTTCATTGTTGAAATTGAAAATGGGTGTAGATGCCTAACTGTGTCCATTAAATTTGAAGACAGATCATAATACTTATAAATTAGGAGCATGAGGCGGCTACTCGGTCCCTTTAGCCTGTTCCATCATTTAATAAAATCATGGTGATTATCTACATCCCCATTTCCTATGATAACCTTTTACCCCTCAACCCCTTGTTCACGAGGGATTCAGCTTCCTCTGGAATTTACAGAAAGTTAATTGACTTTGGAGTAAAGGCATGCAACATTTTAGGGAGATGAGAGATGGTGCTTATCACATTCAATTGCTGAAAGAGTTGCCTCTGAAAGACTCTGGGAATCTCCAGGCAAATAGTTGCCTTGTAACTTTTCCTCGTAACTTCACTTTCCATTTTACAGATTCAAGTAGTCAGAAAAGAATAAATAAAAGTTATGCAAAGCCTGTTATCTTAAATGTGCATCCACCAGTTCCTCTTTATCATAACACACATTACTTCCTCAAAGAATTGGTTTCACAAATTTGCGTAATACCTGCTTGAGTTTCTCCTGTATTATCATTTTTAATTTGATTTCCAGTATCTGAAGTATGGGTAAGATGTTGGGGTCATTCTGAGAGATAGGATTTATATGCATTTGGAAAGGTAAGAACTGATTAGGGATAGTCAGCATGGCTTTGAGTGTGAGAAATCATGTCTCACAAATTTGTTTGAGTTTTTGGAAGAGGTAATCAAGAAGGTAGATGAAGGAAGAGCAGCAGACATTATTTACATGGACTTTAGTAAAGCCTTTGACAAGGTAGACTGGTTAGTAAGATTAGATCACATGAGATCAGGGAGAGATCCACAGGATATAAAATTGGCTTTACGCTAAAAGAGAACAAAAGAGAAGTACACCACAGAAACAAGCCCTTCGGTCCTCCAAGCCTGCGCTGTTCATCATGCCCTAACTAAAAAAAACAAACATTCTGTCCTTATTCAGTCTGTATCCCTCTATTCCCTCCCTATTCATATAACCATCCAGGTGCCTCATAAATGTTGCCAACGTGACTGCTTCCACCACCCCTTCTGGCAGTGCATTCCAGGCTCCTAACACTCTCTGCGTGAAAAACTTCCCTCGCACAACTCCCTTAAACTTTCCCCCTCTCACCTTGAACCGGTGTTCCCTTGTAATTGAATCTTCAACCCTCTGACTATCCACCCTATCTATGCCTCTCATAATTTTGTAGACCTCTATCAGGTCTCCTCTCAGCTGTCGTCTTTCCAGTGAAAACAATCCTAGTCTTTTTAACCTTTCCTCATAGCAAATGCCCTCAACACCAGGCAACATCCTACTGAACCTTTTCTGCACTCTCTCCAAAGCTTCCACGTCCTTCTGGTAGTGTGGTGACCAAAACTGCACATAATACTCCAAATGCAGCCCAACAAGGGTTTTATATAGCTGCAACATGGCTTGTCAACTCTTGTCCTCCATGCCCTGGCCAATGAAGGCAAACATTCCATTTGATTTCTTAATCACCTTGACTACCTGTTTTGCCACTTTTAGAGAACTGTGGACCTCCACACCCAGATCTGTCTGTATATTAATGTTCCTAATGGTTCTGCCATTTACAGTATAATTCACACCCAAATTTGATCCTCCAAAATACATCACCTCGCATTTGGCTGGATTAAACTCCATCTGCCATTTCTGTGCCCAAGTCGTCAATCCATTCATATCCTGTTGTATCCTTTCATAATCATCAGCACTATCAGCAACTCCATCAATCTTCATATCATCTGCAAACTTTCTAATCAGACAACCCACATTTTCCTCCAGATCATTTACATATACTACAAACTAAGGACCTAAGACTGGTCCCTGTGGGACACCACTAGCTACGGGTCTCCATTCTGAAAAACACCCTTTCGCCGCCTCCACAAAAAGTGAGAGAGGTTACTGCCTGAGGTTGTGGTTGACGCAGACTCAACTGAGGCCTTCAAAAAGAATTTGGATAATTACCTCAGAAAAATTTGCAGGGCTACAGACAAAACGTAGAGATCGGGACTGTATGAATTAGACTGCAGAGAGCCATCTCAGACACGACGTATCAAATGGTCTTATTCCATGGGCCCAATAATACCCTGGCTCTCACACTGAAGACCTGTGCTCCAAACCCAGAAACACATTAAACCAACTGTTCCAGTACAACTGCAACACTAGCATCTACCAAAACATGGAAAATTTGCCTGGGTGTGTACTCTCCAGGAAAGGTAGAACAGATGGAATACAATTATTATTAGCCAATCAGTCTACTCCCAATCAAAGTGAAAGAAGGTGCCATTAAATACTGAACAATAACCTGATTACCAACCCTCTATTTGAGTTCCACAAAGAGTGCCCCACATTCAGACATCAACTCAGCTTTCATGAAAACATTGACAAAAGCGGTGAATTCAAGCGGTGAGGGGAGAGTGACTTAACATCAAGGCGGTATTTGATCACGTGCCACCAAAGTAAAACTGACATCACTAGCAGGAACAAGTGGCACAAAGGAAGATGGTTGTGGCTGGTGAAGGTCAATCCTCTCAATCACTGGAGTCAGGTCCAGAGCACTCACTATCTTCGGATGCCTCAAAGATCTTTCTTCCCTTGTAAGGTCAGATGTGGGTACTGACTCCCAATTCCTCAAATAGTGAAGCAGCCTACATCAGCATGCAGCAAGACGTGGACAACATTCAGGCTTGGACTAAGTGGCAACTGAAGTGCCAGAATCTAACCATCTCACCAGCTGTTACCCTCAGTGAATTCCCGTGTGTACAACCTTTGGGGGGGTAATCAATGACCAAAAAATCCATTTAAATACTCCATCTACAATAACAAGACAAAGACTGGAAATTATGCAGCAAGTAATTCATCTCCTGATTCCCTAAAGCCAATACACAATTTACAAGGCTCAATTCAGGAGAACAATGCAGTATTTCTCATTTGCCTGGGTAACAAACTCCGACAATATTCCAGAAGCTCAATATCAACCTATACTTTGCAGTTGATTTGAGTGGTGTAACATCCACTACCACACAGTGTCCAAAGTATGTACCATCTACAAAAAGCACTTCAGTAGCTTGCCAAGGTTTCTTTAGTAGTACTTTAGAAAGCTGCAAATTCAAATGTCAAAAATTACAAGGCTGCAAATGCGTGGCAATATCTTTACTTCCAAGTACCCCTTCAACTCTCAAACTATCATAAGTTTATCAACATTCTTTCATCATCCCATTTGGTCCAAAATCTTGAACTCCCTACCCAACAGTCTTGTGGTAATAATTTCACCAGACTGCAGCCATTCAAGAAAGGACCTCACCACGATCTTTTTAAAGGTAATGAAACATGAGAAATGAATAACAGCCTAGCTAGCAACACTGACTGGCGCTCAATCCTTCACAAAAATGCAATCCCTCTATCACCAGCACTCCCTGACTGCAGTGTGTACCATCTACAACAGCAGCTTCCAAATCCATTATTTCTACTAACAAGAGCAACGGGGGCATGGGAATACCACCACCTCCAGGCTCTGTTCCAAATCACCATCATAACCCAGAAGATCATGGTTATTTATTGTCACTGAGTCAAAATGTTCCACACAGGTTAGTGAAACAAAATTAGAGCACATAGGATTGAGGGTAATATACGACCATGGATTCAGAATTAGTTAACAGACAGAAACAGAGTACAACTACTAGTGGGGTACTACAAAGATCGCAGCTACTCGCTATTGATGAATGATTCAGGGTCCAAATGTAATATTTCTAAGTTTTCTGGGGGCACAAAATTAGGTGATGTGAACTGTGAAGAGGATGCAAAAAAGACTTTAAGGAGATTTTGATATGCAACAACATGGCAGACAATATATAATGAAAAATCATGGAGTTATTCCATTGGATAAAGAAAAAGACAGGAGTGCAGAATATTTCTTAAATGCTAAGAGATTGGGAAGAGTTGATGTCCAAAGGGACTTAGGTATTCTTGTTCATAAGACACTGAAAGCTAAAATCAGATATATCAAGCAAAAAAGGAAGGTGAATATGTTCACAGCTATTGTGAGAGGATTTGAGTACAGATGTAAAGAGGTATTGCTCTAAAGAGCCTTTGGGAGATTGATCCTGGGGTACTACATGCAGTTTTGGTTTCCCTTCCCAAGGAAGTACATATTTGCTTGACAGGCTGCTCAATAAAGGTTGGACTGATTTCTGAATGAGTAGGATTGACCAGAGATTGAGAAGACTGGTCCTATATTCTCTGCCGTTCAAAAGAATGAGGGATAATCTTATTGAAGCATACAAAATTCTAACAGAGCTTGAGAGTAGATGCAAAAACATTTCCCCTAGCTGGTGAGATCTACAGGTTAATCATAGTCACCCATGGCAAAGTTTATGCAACCGTACACAATATTTACATTTAAAGAATAAAGGGGTGCCAACATTTCCAGTAACGTTAGTTGGAATAAAGTCTGTCCATCCTCACTCAGTATTTTCACTGAAACTAATTCATTTGCTAAGTTTTGGAAATCCATCCCATGAATTTACTACCTAAAGAGTAGATATGCCATTAAATTTAACCATAGCTCTTGACGGTTCTGCGCATGAGAAATGTTTTCCCAGGTGAGGGAGGAACAGAGAGAACATGTCTCCCCCAGTCGCTGCCAGAGTTGCTAAGTTTCTCCAGCAATTTCTGTTTTGCTTTGCTTAGGGAACCCACACGTGGTGTCTGTCGAGGCTGCGGTCGATTTCTCACCGCTTCGCCCGGGGAGACTCCTCCACCTCCTCTTCCTCCAGGGTGCGTTGCCCCGCACCTGAACTCGAGACATCAGCCGCAAAAGAAGCCCGTTTGCCACCCAACAGTTCAACGCCCGTAACAGTTTTCCCAATGGTGAACCAGTCCTGTATTTGCTGCGCCATCAAATTTCGAATCATGGTGCACGAGCGACCGCCGTTCAACACGCGGATCAGAACGTGACAATACAAACGGACGGGTCATCTGCGCCTGCGCACTGTCGCGCACCCCGAAAGGCTTTTAAGACCTGCGCGTGCGCAGTTCTGAGCGCCGTGTTGGGGAAATTCAACAGGTCTGGCAGCTTCCGCGGAGAGAAAGCAGAGTTGACGTTTCTGGTCCAGTGTCCCTCACAATTGATGGTAGTCAGAAAAAGGTTGGTCTGTAAAGGATTAAACAATGGGTGAAAATAGAGTCCAAAGGGAAAGGTCAGTTGGCAGACAAAAGGATGCATAATGGTGAGCTGGGGAGGAAAAATATGCTGATGATAGGGATATTAGGGGGATGAGAATGGCCATGTCATCACATGGGCTGCTGTCTTCGCAGCCGACTCATTAAAAGTTCTAACCAAAGTTCAGCTAAAGGCTGCTGACCACCTTTCCCTCTGCACTAAAGTTCAACTTCTGAGCTAGACACTAGTGCCTTTCCATCTGTGCTAAAGTACTACTTCTGAAACAAAGACTACTACTTGACTGCCCACAAAAGCGACATTTGAGAGACCAAGTGGTACCTGCTAACAAACAACCTGATGTTATGAGGCTGATGCATTGCTGTAGCCCACTTATGTGCTTTGAGGGTTCAGGGAGAGACTGTGACTATTGACTATGGAGGTACTGCTGCAGTTGTAGCAGTTCCATTTAAAGTAAAGAGGAAGAAGGTTAATTAATGAAATGAAAATACGTGCACTTAGGCTTCTTGTTACTTGATGATAAGAATTTGATCTTGCCACCTAAGTAAGAAGTATTTAATAGTGACAGTTAAACTCAATGATGAGAATGATTTTTGACTCTCATCCGATTAATTCAACATGCTTACCATTATTCTCACCACCTCAGCGAGGGGAAATTATGTAATTAATTTTTTTCCTCCCAAGAGCACAATATTACACCATTGACAGTTTGTCATGATCTGATTTGTAGATTACAAAGCAATGTATTGCAGACTCTGGACGTGTGAAATAAAGAAAGTCCCTGGAAATAATCTGCAGGCCAGACAGAATCTGTGGAGGGAGGAGTAGAGTAAACATTTCAGGTTGATGGCCCCCTTTATCAAAACTGAGGCAAGATGAAAATTTAATATGTCTTGTGCAAGTCAAAAGCGGGAGGAGGAGGAACAACAAAAGGGAAGATTTGCAACAGGGTCGGAAGGCAGGAGAACTTAACTCAAAGGTTTCATGGTATGGGAGCCAAAGAGAATAGCAGTAGAAATAATGAAAACACATAAGCTGTGTCTAAGTAAGACTATGTCTAAGCTGTGTCTTACTAAAAGTAAGATAGATTATGAGAGTAAACTAGCTCAGAATATAAAAACAGGGCAGCAAAAGTTTCTATAAACATGTAAATCATAAAAGAGTGGCGAAGGTAAACATTGGTCCTTTAGAGGATGAGAAGGCCAATTTAATAACTGGGAATGAGGAAATAGCCGAGACATTAAACAGTTATTTCGTGTCGGTCTTCACAGTGGAAGACACAAATAACATGCTGAAAACTAATGGCAAGAAGCTTATAGCAGGTGAGGACCTAGAAACTATCATTATCACTAAGGAGGCAGTGCTGGGCAAGCTAATGGGGCTAAAGGTAGACAAGTCTCCTGGCCCTGATGAAATGCATCCCAGGGTACTAAAAGAGGTGATGGGGTAAATAGCAAATGCACTAGTAATTATTTACCAAAATTCACTGGACTGTGGGGTGGTTCCCACAGATTGGAAAACAGCCAATGTGACGCCACTGTTTAAAAAAAGGAAGTAGACAAAAAGCAGGTAACTATAGGCCAGGGATATACAAGGTGTAGAGCTGGATGAACACAGCAGGCCAAGCAGCATCAGAGGAGCAAGAAGGCTCTAACTATACGCCAGTTAGCTTAACTTCGGTAGTGGGGAAAATGCTTGAATCTATCATTAAGGAAGAAATAGCAAGACATCTGGATATAAATTGTCCCATTGGGAACACCCAGCATGGGTTCATGAAGGGTAGGTCATGTTTAACTAATTTGATGGAATTCTTTGAGGACATTACTTGCTTGTGGACAATGGGGAACCTGTGGATGTGTTGTATCTGGATTTCCAGAAGGCATTTGACAAGGTGCCACACTAAAGGCTGCTACATAAGATAAAGTTGCATGGTATTACAGGTAATGTATTGGCATGGACAGAGGCTTGGTTGACCAGTAGAAAGCAAAGAGTAGGGGTAAATGGGTGTTTTTCTGGTTGGCGGTCAGTGGCTAGTGGTGTGCCTCAGGGATCAGTGTTGGGACCGCAATTGTTTACAATTTACATAGATGATTTGGAGTTGGGGACTAAGTGTGGTGTGTCAAAATTTGCAGATGACACTGAGGTGAGTGGTAGAGCAAAGTGTGCAGAAGACACTGAAAGTCTGAAGAGGGATATAAATAGTCTAAGTGAGTGGGCAAAGGTCTGGGCAATGTTGATAAGTGTGAGGTCATCCATTTTGGTAGGAATAATAGGAAAATGGACTATGTTTCAAATGGTAAAAAAATTGCAGCACGCTGCTGTGCAGAGGGACTTGGGTGTCCTTGTGCATGAATCGCTAAAAGTAGGATTGCAGGTGCAGCAGGTAATTAAAAAGGCAAATGGAATTTTGTCTGCCATTGCTAGAGGGATGGAGTTTAAAAACAGGGAGGCTATGCTGCAGCTGTATAGGGTCCTGGTGAGGCCACAGCTGGAATACTGTGTGCAGTTTTCATCTCCTTACTTGAGGAGAGATATATTAGCACTGGAGGGGGTGCAGAGGAGATTCACTCGGTTGATTCCAGCGTTGAGAGGGTTGGATTATGAGGAGAGACTGTGTAAACTGGGATTATACTCATTGGAATTCAGAAGAATGAGGGAAGATCTTATGGAAACATATAAGATTATGAAGGGAGTAGATAAGGTGGAGGCAGGGAGGTTGTTTCTGCTAGCAGGTGAAAGTAGGACTAGAGGGCATTGCCTCAAAATAAAGGGAAGCAGATGTAGGACTGAGGTCAGGAGGAACTTCTTCACCCAAAGGGTTGTGAATCTGTGGAATTCCCTGTCCAGTGAAGTGGTTGAAGCTACCTTGCTGAATGTTTTTAAGGCAAAGCTAGATAAATTTTTGAACAGTAAAGGAATTAAGGGTTACGGTGAGTGGGTGGGTAAGTGGAGCTGAGTCTCAAAAAGATCAGCCATGATCTTATTAAATGGCGGGGCAGGCTCAAGGGGCCAGATGGCCTACTCCTGCTCCTAGTTCTTATGTTCTTATGTCTAGGTGAATGGCTGTAGAGCAGCTATACAAATGCAACGTGAAAGGAGGAAAGGAATAAGACACACCAAACTAACAACAAAAATGGAAACAAAATGAAGACACATCTGATCTAAATTTGTTGAACTTAGTGACGTGTGCAGAAGGTTATAGGGTGTGAAGACAAAACCATGCTGCCCCTTAACTTTGTGTTGAGCTTCAGTGGAACATAGTAGCAAGCTGGGGACAGAAAAATCAGAGTGGGAGCAACGTGGATAATTTAAAAGGCAGGAAACTCAGTGTCATGGTTATGGAGAGAATGGTTAGAGGCCTGCTGATAGGAGAGGGGAATGTTTTTGGCAATCAACATTTCCTGTTTCAATGAACTTTGAGCTCAGCATGACACTGAGCTAATCTTCCATCTTCAATATATCTTTGGCCAGGAGCATTCCCCTGATTGGAGACCCTTCTACCCATCTACAATATCTTCCCCGGACCTGGGCCTGCCCTGTTAGTCTTGTACCCTACTTGCCTGGATCTCAGCAATGCCTGCCTCTTAGTTGATAACGTGGAACATTCCGTATTCAGCCTATTAAGGTCTAATTCCTCTGCTTTTTTTACCCAGGACCTTGATGACTGGATTAGTGCTACGTCCCCCTCTTGCCATGGAATTTGGTTTTCAGTTTCCATCCTGCTCTCACCTTTGACTAGGACTCAAAAAGAAAGTTGCTGGAAAAGTTCAGCATGTCTGGCAGCATCTGTGAAGGAAAAAACAGAGTTAACGTTTCGGGTCCGGTGACCCTTCCTTAGAACTCAGACCTGCTGAGCTTTTCCAGCAACTTTATTTTTGTTCCTGATTTACAGCATCCACCATTCTTTAGGTTTTTATTTCGACTCGGACTCTCTCCTTCTCTTCCTGAATTTCTCTAAATCTTTTTCAGTACTTCATATTTGCTGCAAGCCAATGGATTCCCAGAGCTATCATGATTACATTTCTGACACGCTTACATTTTCCCATGCCCTCTCCGTTCAATTTTCTAAAGGAATTTTTACCTGGAACATCTGATTCCATTCCGCACTTATCCTCAATAATCCCTGTTTTCTTCAGCACCATTCCATTTCAGCACAGGAGGTGCAAATCCTGTCCTTGTATCTCCTCACGTCTCAAATTAAGGCCCCAAAAACCCCTCCAAATGAAACGGCAATTAATCTGTTCTTCTGTCAATTTAATATATACAGAATAACAAGAGATTATCTGGTTGCCATTAGGCTAGATTTTTATTCGAGACTTTTACTGAATTCAGAATTTCCCCTTCTGCTGTTGTGGTTTCAAACCTATGAAAGTTAAAAATTTCAGAGTTTGTTTTCAATTCAAATTTAGCACAATCATTTACATTATCATTTTATTCTAGTTGTCTGGCACTTAACCCACTGTTTTCATTGTTTATAAAAAGAGTATTTAATATTGTGCAGAGAACATTTTGAGAAATGAGTTAAAAGTATGTGCAGTTATCACAACTCATCTGAAACATCCATAGAAACCAACTGATACAGGTATCTTTTCTGCTCATTAAATTAATATTTTCATCAATGTGCTGAAAAATGTAACACTTCGACGTTAACTGCATGCCATATGATCGGCTGGGAGAAAGGAGTTTGCTGTGATATTTTAGTTATTGCTTTCTTCTGTTATGATAACATGAAAATCCTATAAATTTCTTTGATCTCCCTCCTCCCTTATTTGAAGAG